ACGCCAGGCTAGGGGGGGTCGTGCTTGGACGCCAGGCTAGAAAAAGATGATTGGACGACAAGCTCGGAGGCGTGATTGGACGGCAGGCTAGGCGGTATGATTGGTCGACAGGCTAGGGGGGCGGGGATATGATTGGACAACAGGTAGCTAAACGACCCTATCAAAGGAGGACAATTTTGTGCTAAAAACTCCTCCGTCGAGTGAGTCTCTCTGCCATATAGAGCTTCGGCTTTGCGGTAAATATACATACAAATAGGGACGGTCATTTTACGGGGGTAAATGAAGAGAGAGAGAGACATAATGGGCCGTTTGCTAGAGTGCCTTACCTTAAAACCCCAGTGAGATGGTGGGCACACAGGTGCTGTGCACTTAAGGCAGAAAATTGCCAAGGATAATGGGGGTTTATACTGCTCACGTTCTTCCTTTCTCTCTATTTCTCGCTCTTCCTTTCTCTCTATTTCTTTCTCTTTATTTCTCTCTATTTCTCGCTCTTCCTTTCTATCTCACGGTTGTTGTGAATCAGAGTTGTATTTTGTGTATTAACACTGATGTTTTATGGGATTAGAATGTATGTTGGATAAAAACTTACACTTGTGTATTTGTGAAATTTATATAAGGAATTTACAGCAAGTCTTTCGCACTCTCCTGAGTGCTTTGTCGAGGTCTGAGTGTGTGGTGAGGACGAGATTTACTGCTCAACGTCTAATCAACGTCAACGCGATTAGACGTTGAGATTTCATCCTAATCACACAGTGCCACCACCACTAGGATGGTGGTGGCACTGACGTCAGGGCCTCTGCCCTACACACCCCTCACCACCATCACCACTACCTCTCACCACCACCTCTCACCACCACCTCTCACCACCACCTCTCACCACCACCTCTCACCACCACCTCTCACCACCACCTGTCACCACCACCTCTCACCACTACCTCTCACCACCACCTGTCACCACCACCTGTCACCAACTCAAACCGAACTTGCAGGCATATACCTTGCCACTGAATTTTTAAAAGACAAAGGCAGTGGACTTATATATTGTGACTCGCAGAGTGCACTCCTGGCATTGAATGCACATAGTAGTGACACCCAGAAAATAGTCAGTGATATTCGAATGAATGTTTTAGCTGCTAAAGAAAACAGATTTGAAATTAAATTCCTATGGATACCATCACATGTTGGTATCTCAAGGCATGACACTGTTGATATGTTTGCTAAGACAGCCTGTAGAAAACCAGAGGTAGAAATTGATATGGGTGTTTCATTAGCAGTGGCAAAGAGAATACTTAAACAAATATCTTATGAAGATCTCACCGAACTAACAAATTCGCAAAGACCTGAAAGTTGTAGCATTAAATATTGGACGCGTGATCCTGTGGTCCCGGGTTCGATCTCGTGCGCCGGCGAGAAACAACGAGCAGAGTTTCTTTCACCCTGATGCTCCTGTTACCTAGCAGTAAATAGGTACCTGGGAGTTAGTCAGCTGTCACAGGCTGCTTCCTGGGGGTGGAGGCATGGTCGAGGATCGGGCCGCGGGGACACTAAGCCCCGAAATCATCTCAAGATAACCTCAAGATAACCACCACACCCCCCCTCCTCCCCCCCCCCCTCACCAACCAGCAGCCAACAGCTGCCAATGAGGAGCGACGTAATAACCTTTTTGTTCCTTGGTGATGTTTAATTAGAGAGTAATACCCCCGAAGAGAGCGTGTTTAGTGAAGCAGTAAGGGCGTCAGAGCCTCAGTATATTACACGAACCCCGACTTTATCAGCTGCCCACACCCCTCCCGTCACTGGTCTACTCTTGTTCAGACCGTGTCTACCAGCTGTAGCGCCTTGGCGACGAGGACAGGTCATATCTACCAGCTGTGACGCCTTGGCGACAAGGTCAAGTTATGTTTACCACCTTTGACAGCCCTGGCGACGAGGACAGGTCATATCTACCAGCTGTGACGCCTTGGCGACATGGTCAAGTTATGTTTACCACCTTTGACAGCCCTGGCGACGAGGTCAGGTCATATCTACCAGCTGTGACGCCTTGGCGACAAGGTCAAGTTATGTTTACCACCTTTGACAGCCTTGGCGACGAGGTCAGGTCATATCTACCAGCTGTAGCGCCTTGGCGACAAGGTCAAGTCATGTTTACCACCTTTGACAGCCCTGGCGACGAGGTCAGGTCATATCTACCAGCTATATCCCCTTGACGAGATCAGGATGGCAACAGTATTGAGGGATTAAGTTTGACGTTTCGACAGGAGATCAGAGAAGCAAAGTGCTCCAGACGGGTAGAGTAGAGCCCGTAGAGCACCAACACACGCTCCGACACAGGCGAGGAAATGCTCTCTTCACAACGCATGCCTCTTGAGCATGTGTTGTAGTACAAGTAGCACGTGCTACGTGCTACTTGTTACCCCATCCCATCCTTATCCCTTCCCAGTGCTATATAGTTGTAATGGTTTGACACTTTCCCCCTCATAGTTCCCTTCTACTGTGGGTATTTGTGGATCATCTTGAAAGTATTTTTTTACTGTCCTGTTGCGTGTGTTGGACAAACTAGAGATTAGTTCGAGAGATTGGCAGCCATTGACGCCTTGACCGACGCAAGTACTTGACTGTTGTTATGTTGCAAGAAATTAATTAAGATATTGTCTAACATTGAGTGCTTCTCCAGACGAACATTTAGCTGTGAGGCAAATTATAATGTTTACCAACGTGAATCAGTTTCGTAGATTTCCGAGGTTGTCGGTCGACTCCTGTTGTCGCCGCCTAGGTTCTAGTCCCTGTCGTCGTCGACACGCAAGTCGACGACTGAAGACGACGTGCTAGAATTTTAACACCAATTTAATGATGAATTTACCTATTTACCTGGTTGATCAGTCCAGCAACCAGGAGGCCTGGTCGACGATCGGGCCGCGGGGACACTGAGCCCCGGAAGCACCTCAAGGTAACCTCAAGGTAAGGTACTGTTCATCATTATTCAAGGGGGGTTTGTTGTCCTCTTGAAGCTAATCAGTTGGGAAACACTGAATTATCAAGATTTTTTTTACCACCACCTCACACACCCCCCTCACAGCCACCTCACACACCCCCCTCACAGCCACCTCACACACCCCCCTCACAGCCACCTCACACACCTCCCTCACAGCCACCTCACACACCTCCCTCACAGCCACCTCACACACCCCCCTCACAGCCACCTCACACACCCCCTCACAGCCACCTCACACACCCCCCTCACAGCCACCTCACACACCTCCCTCACAGCCACCTCACACACCTCCCTCACAGCCACCTTACACACCTCCCTCACAGCCACCTCCCTCACAGCCACCTCACACACTCCCCTCACAGCCACCTCACACACCCCCCCCCCTCACAGCCACCTCACACACCCCCTCACAGCCACCTCACACACCCCCTCACAGCCACCTCACACACCCCCCTCACAGCCACCTCACACACCCCTCTCACCTCACAACCACCTCACACACACCTCACCATCTCGAGGAAGGACAATTCACACAGAAAATGACCTAGACTTGTGTTCCTTGATAACAATAGGAGTAAGGTTTGCTTCTAAACACCTTAAGCACTTGTGTGAAAGAACTTATCTCTATACATTTTTTACAGACATTATAATACATAATATAGTTGGATACTGGCCAACAAGTATTAGTTAATATATATATATATATATATATATATATATATATATATATATATATATATATATATATATATATATAGCCAGACCTAGTAGCCAGAACGCACTTCTCAGCCTACTATGCAAGGCCCGATTTGCCTAATAAGCCAAGTTTTCATGAATTAATTGTTTTCCGACTACCTAACCTACCTAACCTAGCCTAACCTAACTTTTTCGGCTACCTAACCGAACCTAACCTATAAAGATAGGTTAGGTTAGGTTAGGTAGGGTTGGTTACGTTAGGTTAGGTAGGGTTGGTTAGGTTTTGTCATATATCTACGTTAATTTTAGCTCCAATAAAAAAAAATTGACCACATACATAATGAAATGGGTAGCTCTATCATTTCATAAGAAAAAAATTAGAGAAAATATATTAATTCAGGAAAACTTGGCTTATTAGGCAAATCGGGCCTTGCATAGTAGGCTGAGAAGTGCGTTCTGGCTACTAGGTACGACATATATATATATATATATATATATATATATATATATATATATATATATATATATATATATATATATATATATATATATATATTATTCAAGATCGTGTCGGGTACCGGCCGCCTCCACTGACGTCCAGCAGTTCCTTGTCTTCGCTAACATTGTAACTAGTCGTAAATATTAAGCAAAATTGCTGCCCAGTATATAAAGTTGAGCTGCGGACCGTTGGGCACAAGGCTCTCATTCCCAGGCTCTTGGACTACATTTGTCGAGCTCAAAGAGTTTCAAGTACAATTGAGATGGTTTAAATCACACAGATGATGAACTTAAATGATCCATGTCATTGTACTATGTCGGTGTTTGAGCTATGTTGTCGAATATGTAGTGGATATGTGGGCCTGCTCCAAGCAACAGCCTGGTGGACCAAACTCTCACAAGTAGGCCAGGCTTGGGGAGTAGAAGAACTCCCAGAACCCCATCAACCAGGTTAAATAGTGTCCATATTCATATCACAAATTTAGTTTGGCAATTCATGCATCTATATCGTAAATAATATGCTCGTCTAACTCCTCCCTCCCTCATCAACACCCAGCCACGCATCTAATTCTGTTCCAATACCCAGCACAAAATTCATTCCGGCTTCCAATCACATACTACAGGCCAAGCCCCCCTCAACACCTCGCCTATTCCAGCTCTAGCTCCCAATCACCCCAACCCTCATCACCTCAGCTCTGATCCTAATACCTCACCCCCTTCTCCATCTGTTCTAGTCCTCCAACACCTAACCAATCCCCTACCCACCCTTCCTCCCAATCGGAAATAGCCCCAAAAGAACAGCCACTCACCTGCTAGGAGGCAGAGAAGAGACGAAGCCATCAGCCACAGCCGGCGCCAGTAACCCTCTCCAAGTTTTCGGGAATCCATCATGTGTAGCGCGATGGAGAGAAGGAGGGAGGAGAGGGCTATGGATGAGATGCAGGGAGGGAGTGTGTGTGAGGGAGAAGGTTGGAGTGAAGGAGAGAGTGTGATGGAATCTGTCCCTAGAAAAGCCAGAGCAAGATTAGGGTCAATAAACTCGTCTCATCTGTGAAGCATGAACGGGTATTGTGAATAATATTGTGGGTCTAAATAAACAGGGGTTCGAATTGTAGAGGGGGGGATCAAATGGTACACGAGTTCAAGTAATACGAGGTTTAAATGGTGGAAGGGTTCGAATCTTAAATTGGCTCGAATGTCAGAAGGGTTCGAAGGGGGTTAAAATGACAATGGCGTTCGAATGAAAGGGTTAGAGATACGAGTCCCAAACAAAAGTTAGAGACATGACTGGGACACGAATATGTGAGAGGTAGGGAGAAATACACGAGCAAATACAGGGAATCGAAATGAATCAGGGGGAGAATGAGAAAGGAAACTAGGGGATAAGAGGAAAACAAAAAGAGAAAACAAACAAATGGAGGAAAGCGAGAAAGCGACAATCCAAACAGGAAGAAAGTTGATTAAACCTTGCTTGAGATCTCTAAAGAAAGGCGTAGAAAGCGCACGACAATAAACCACGTTAAGATGAACACAGAAACAAAGGAATAGGATAATTTCAAGCTAACAGCAATACAAAAAAGTGTGATGCTTTTATGTGAAAAACTTGTAGAAATATAGCGTTTTTGGCGGTACTAATTTAGTGAGAGATTACTGACATCTACACCAGTGTAAACTGATTTAGTGAGAGATTACTGGCATCTACACCAGTGTAAACTGATTTAGTGAGAGATTACTGTCATCTACACCAGTGTAAACTGATTTATTGAGAGATTACCGACATCTACACCAGTGTAAACTGATTTAGTGAGAGATTACTGACATCTACACCAGCGTATACAGGTTATACAATGCTATATCAAGATTTGCAACTATAATAGAGCAATATAGATACTGGGATTTCATTTAGGGACTAGATACTAGTACTGCAAGGAACACAATATAGATACAGGAGCGCGTTCTGCAGATGAAGGGGGGGATTGATGTGTTGAAGGTAGGGTGAGGGGAGGATTGATGAGTGTATTTGAGGGGTTCACTGAGGGGGTGAGAGAGTGTCGAACTAGTGAGGTGGGGTTGGAACAAGCAAGAGAAGGTAAAAGTTGATGAGAGTTGCTGGCTGGAACATTGTGTTCACCAGGGTGTTCCACTAGGGTGTTCCACAGGGGTGTTCCACTAGGGGGTTCCACAGGGGAAGTGGCCAGCTGCACCGCTTACCACTTCCTGGAGTAGGTTCAATCACCAAGGTCAGGTTCGATGTTCTTCTTAACTGTTTGTTCTGTGTCTGTTTTTATGTGGCTGCTGATCTTTTCGTCTAATTTGTTCTTTTTGGGGCATGTTATATACAACTGTTCATTCACTTGCCACCTCACTTAGGGTTAGTGTTCTATTCTGTTCAGCCACTGTTATTGACCTTGAGAATCTTACATGATAACTTCACACTGCTAGTGCTCATGTTCCTCACCAGATGGCACTCATCCGCCTCTCTCTTTCTCACTATTTTATATTTTCACTCTTTTATTTACTTTTTTTTCTGTCACTAATATTTCACTGTTGACCGTGCACCTCTGCCCTAGTTTTCACAAGGGCTTCACTGTTTGCCGTGACAGCGTTGGCGCCATGTTCACTGTTTGCTTTGAAAGCAGTGGTACCAGGTGTTCACTGTTTGCTTTGAAAGCCATGGTCGCCATGTTTTACATCTGTTCCAGTTCCTCTGGAACTCCTCCACTTCTGTTCCACATTACCTATTTAGGTTCTTGCATTTTTACTACTGTTCCACTCAAATCTATTCCACTTTTATGATATATGCTTTCTCAAGGCATTTCAAATATTTTCAGATATATATATATATCAATATATTTTAAGAGTCACTGTTCACCTACCCATTGCAATCCCCCTTCCATACCCTGTTCCATAATGGGGCGTCAACTGTTCCATTACCACTGTCGTATTCCTTCCTGTTCCATTACTCTCCTCTTCCTATTTGCAAAGAGGTTATCTTCAGTACAATTTTAGTCATGTCGTATTGGATTGTGTCTGCTCTCTCTCTCTCTCTTTTCCTCCCTCTCTCTCTCCCTCTCTCTCTTTCCCCTCGCTTCCCCCTGCTTACTGCTGCTTCCCCTTTACTTTCACCCTTTTTTGCTGGTTATTCTCGGCTTTGTATAGGTTTTCTCCCCATTATGTCTTTCTATGTCAATTTCAAACGCTCACTGAGTGTGCTCAAGCGGCGGCTCTCTCTATATTATTGGATTTCTTTCACTCCCTCTTTCGTTTTTGAAGGTTTTTGTAGGTTTTTGAAGGTTTTTGAAGGTTTTTGTAGGTTTTTGAAGGTTTTTGAAGGTTTTTGTAGGTTTTTGAAGGTTTTTGAAGGTTTTTGTAGGTTTTAAATTTTCTTGGGCATTTGTTGCTTCCTTTTATACACTGGGCGGATTTTTATTATCACATTTATATATTCTCGTTTTCTTATTTATATATATATATTTTGTTTTTAATGGCATTTATTTTTGTTTTTTTTTCCTTTAATGACTGATGGTCACGTGAACTCCTTGAACTTCTTGAAATGGTTATTCAAGTTTTATTTTCCGTTCAAAAGCTTGAATACAAATGAATAAAAGTGAATACAAATCGTTTCCCCAAACTCGTTCTTTGCATTTTTTTTTTTTTTGCATTCGTTTTGTTCTTCAGTTTCTCCCACTTTGTTTGGTGTATAATTGGTAAAGTTTAACTTACCACTTTCTAGTTCACTTTTGTGCTGAGTTTTGGTATCATGTCGCTGAAAGGAAAGAGAAAGAAAAAAATAGTTAATAGATTCGTCATCACTATCAATTCAATAAAGTCAAAATAACCTGATAAATTTGCTATAAAGTTCTTAATGAGGTTATCATTTAGCTATTTAGCTATAAGTTTTAATTCATCCTAAAGTTATTAAACAGTTATTAACATTTCATGATTGCGTTATGATATCATAATGACATCATCTCGATATAGTAATAACGCGATATATCTATGGGACAATCATTGGAGCAGGACAGAGCATCGAACGAGCGTCCCGGGTATGCTCAGACACGCCCTCTGCTCCCAAGGTAGTCTCACAGATATCGTAATATTCCTATTTTTTTTAAATTAATAATAAAACCTTTATTCCTTAAAAAAAATCACTTTCACTAAATGTAAAATGGAACAGAATCTCGAGTGAGTTCATTTTTCCTAAGAAGTGTCGTGATGTCACAGCCTCTCTGAACACCCATCACACCGAAACAAAGGGAAGGAACGATGTCACTCCCCATCCACATGGGTTCGATCCCCACCCCGTGTGCCCGGTAAAGTGGCGTTATTTAGCCCTGCATTTATGCCCTATATAAGACCCTTAATCCCCCATGATTGACCTGTCTCTATAGGCTATATAGGGTAGACCTCTCCATCCAAGCTACAACTGTGGCTTGGTACACGGTCGTGTCAAAGTTGTAGCTTGAGTATACGGTTGTTAAGTTGTAGCTTGAGTGAATGGTTGTTAAGTTGTAGCTTGAGTGTACGGTTGTTAAGTTGTTGCTTGAGTGTACGGTTGTTAAGTTGTTGCTTGAGTGTACGGTTGTTAAGTTGTTGCTTGAGTGTACGGTTGTTAAGTTGTAGCTTGAGTGAACGGTTGTTAAGTTGTAGCTTGAGTGAATGGTTGTTAAGTTGTAGCTTGAGTGTACGGTTGTTAAGTTGTAGGTTGTAGCTGTCGGTGCAGTATGAGCTAATATACACTGCCTCATTCTGCTTCATGTATACGTAATGTATACGTAATTTGCTTCGTTCTTCCCACTGTATGAATGTGTGTATGTATATATGTTTACATATGCACACCAATAAGTATGTGAGAGGGAACGAATTCCTGCTCCTGAATGTATGTATGTATATATATGTAATTCAGCTCCTGTTTGTATGTATGTGTATATATGTAATTATATATTTATGTATACTTGTATGCATATTTATATATATGTATACCGTATGTGCATTTCTGCATATGCATTTTAAATAATGTTCAAATTTTCTCAGAAAGATCTGCCTGGAAGCCATCAACTTTGAATTTATTTCAACACATTACAGTATTGTGGCTTGCTATCATTATCTTCAAAATCATTTTCATCATTCTCATCACCTTCATCATTCCTCCTCTTCCCATCTTCGTGGAATAGAGACGCATCAGTTCAGAATAAAGAGGAGAGTATCATAAGAAAAACAAGATTAATGATCCTTAAAAACACATAATCAATTTACACTCTGTCATACACGCTATATACAGCGGTGTCATACTGCTTCATACAACTACAGTAGCGTCATACTGCTTCATACAACTACAGTAGCGTCATACTGCTTCATACAACTACACCAGCGTCCTAATACTTCATACAACCAAGTGTAAAGTCCTTCCACTGAGTAATTATCCTTAAAATATGCCAAACAATCATAACCACCTAATTTCATAGGCCTAATTCCCATTAGGAATAAACATACACAGACCTCACTCACTCATCCGCTTTCTCATATACTCACACACATCCTGTCTCTCCCTCATCTTCACTACCCTCCTCATAACCTCATCCAAGCTCCAAATACTCACCAAAAAAACACACTTCCTCACAATATATATATATATATATATATATATATATATATATATATATATATATATATATATATATATATATATATATATATATATTATTAAATATGACCGAAAAAGTAAGATTAATAATTCTAACACGAATTTTCTCAATCTTTCGTACATTTCTTTTCACTGTTGGAGGTAAATCAAAAATCAATTCTCCAAAATTCATTTTTATTTCTAGTCTGACGCGACACGAGCGCGTTTCGTAAAACTTATTACATTTTCAAAGACTTTAGTTTACAAATACACAACTGAATAGAACTTACGCATCTCCGATTTTATATCTACATTTTAGTGAGGTGGATGGGGTGAGGTGGCATTAATAGGGTATTAATTTCATCAACACAAGACAGAACAAGAGGTGGCATTAATAGGGTATTAATTTCATCAACACAAGACAGAACACGAAACAATGGGTATTGAATAGAAGTGTTTGTAGAAAGCCTATTGGTCCATATTTCTTGATGCTTCAATATTGGAGCGGAGTCTTGAGGTGGGTAGAATATAGTTTTTTCTTGATGCTTCTATATTGGAGCGGAGTCTTGAGGTGGGTAGAATATAGTTTTTTCTTGATGCTTCTATATTGGAGCGGAGTCTTGAGGTGGGTAGAATATAGTTTGCACAACTATATTCTATATAGTTGTGCAACTATATATATATATATATATATATATATATATATATATATATATATATATATATATATATATATATATATATATACTGTACAGGCATGGGGACATGATACAACCCTGAAGTACTTCAATGTTAATTTTAAAGCCACTCGCTATCACACTATAATCTCTGACACATGTGCTAATTCCTCCATTAAAGCTATTAACGGCATTTAATAGTGTTCTAACAGCTCCATAATGCCCAACAACTCCAGAAACTCCTCCTATTTATTTTATCACATGGTTTCTCAAATTCCATCAATGCCAAAGACATCCTCTAATCTTTCTAAAAATGATTTCTCCAGCAGCGGCCTTAATGCAAATTTCTATACAAACTAGTGGGTGTGAAGTCTCTTAGGAGAGCGCTGCTTGGAGAGTGACGTGGTGCTGGAAATCAGATCATCTCCCGTATAACCTGCAGACTTTGTATCTTCTTGGGAGGCTGCACCAAGGCGCCAAGCAGAGACCTCTTCACGCCGGTGCTGCTTATTCTGAGGGATTTACTCTCTCTCTCTCTCTCTCTCTCTCTCTCTCTCTCTCCCCTTCCTATCCTACCTCTTCCGTCCGGGCTTTACAGGGTATCTCGCTCTAATCCCCTCCTCGGCCTCCTTTGGGACCTGTCTCATCTCAGCGTAGAGAGATCCAGCATCCTCTGGGCCATTGCTTCATCTCACAGCCCACTAAATTAGCCTGTAATAAATCAATACCATCTTGAGCTGAGCCTCCAGTCACAGGCGCTGAGAGAAGCGTTTGGAGCCAGACGGTGAGACGGAAGACACCAGATACCTTGATTTTTTTTTTTTTTGCACATGAATTATTTGATTATTCCTCTTGTTCGTTCGTTCCCTTGTTAGTCCTGCGCTAAAAAAAATTCTCTTTCGAATTAGTTTTTTTCTCCTTTTCGTTTGACGTTCTCTTATTTCCACCTTACGTTGTTCTTTCTCGTTATCGTTACTCACTTATCTTTATGCTATCTTCCTCTTTGGTTCTCCCTCAAGGCACTCCTTCCCCTTCTTCTCTTCCTCCTTCTACACTTACACTTCTTTTTCTCTCCCTGCTCCATCAAGGCTCTGTTTCACTTGAAGAACTTAAAGACAAATGCTGGTTTCTTAAAATGATTGGAGTCAATATATCAGGTTGCTGACCCGCCCTAGAACTGAGAACCTATCTTGAGATGGTTATCTTGAGATGATTTCGGGGCTTAGCGTCCCCCACGGCCCGGTCCTTGACCAGGCCTCCAGACCCGAAAACTGAGGTGGAATGCCGGCTTCTAAGATCACATATTGGATGATCATAATCACAGGTAATGTGACCCCAGACAACACCAGTCCCAGTTTCAATAACTTTTATACTAAGATAACATGTAATCTGGCGTGAATGTCACCGTGAAAGACGTTATCTTACACTGCAGGTTATCACTGCACTTCAGGTCTTACCAATCAAGTGTCATGCATGTATGAATAGTTATCTGGTCTTAATCTAAAAGTGAGTTGATAGCTAGGATGCGCGTTCCAGGCTGCTCTGGGCCTCAGATGTCACCTTGGATATGTTGAGTGTTAGGTGTTCTCAGACACCTGTGAGTAGCAGGTGTGTATGGCCTGCCACTCACAGGTGTGTAAAGCCTGCTACTCACAGGTGTGTAAGGCTTGCCACTCACAGGTGTGTAATCTGAAAAATATTCAGATTTTTCTTTCATTACCTTCTCATACCTCTACTATTTCCTCCTCCCCCCCCCCCCCACCAATCATTCTCCAAAACTCGGTTAAAATCAAATGACGATATCGCGCATATTCCCCCCCCCCTGCGTGTGAGACAACACCTGTGTCATATACGATTGACGGGAGATGTTTTTGCTATCTTAAGACATATGACGAGTTATTGCAAAACCTGTTATTGCAAAAACTTCTCAAACTCGCCAGAAATGAAGATTCATCAAATGTCCTGCCTCTCGGGCGCCCAGTTAGCTGTACCAACAGAGAGAGAGAGAGAGAGAGAGAGAGAGAGAGAGAGAGAGAGAGAGAGAGAGAGAGAGAGAGAGAGAGAGAGAGAGAGAGAGAGAGAAGACACAACAAGCCCAGGTAACGTCTTCAAGAGAGGTATACACATCTGTTAATGTGTATACAATGTAAGGTTCAGTTTTCAAAGTTACTCAGGTGGGGATGTTGATCATTAAAGTAAGGTACACAACACACCTGGGGTGAGGGAGGGTGTTAAGTGCATAGTGTACTTAACGTCATCTCATTCAGCAACGTTTCTTCCGTTGTTTAGTAAATGTTACTTACAAAATGTTGTTGTGTTGCTTTAGAGAGACACTTGTGGACAGTTTCACTGTTTGTTGTTCTTACTTAAGGCATGCGGACGTGTATATATACACTAAACCACACATTGCTATAGACTCTCTCTCTCTCTCTCTCTCTCTCTCTCTCTCTCTCTCTCTCT